TGTGAACTTAATATATTCATCCACAGAGTGGATGTGATCAGTGAAATGTTGGACTTCCTGGGCTTTAATTTTAACCCAGGTGTCGTCAACATATCTGAACCAAATATCTGAACAGACTGAAGAAGTCTCTTGGAGGAGAGACGAAATGTTTCATTAGAGAAGAACCCGTCCAGAAGACCTATACAATTTTTTTTCTTTTTGATTCTTCAAGTCTAAAATGTGCTGTAGCATTTTCCATCCTACAAGTATTGTAGAGTTTTACACGAATATTTTGTACCATATAAAATTAAGGTTTGATTTAATCCTCGGGTCTAAGGACAGAGTGGTGAGTTTCACCCATATGTTAGCTGGAGGCTGGGAACGTAATATGGGAAGAGAGGCTCGGTGTTAAAATACCACAGCTGACCCATCGCTGTCGGGGTGTTTTGCTTCTGGGTCGACATCATGAGGTCAGTGTTGAGACACACAGCTGGTTGAAACCCAGCTGACTTGATAGGAATTCATCCAGAGTCCGTGTCATGGAGAGAGCACTTCAGATGAAGCACTTCTTTATAAACAAAACAAGAAAAAGGAATGTGAAAAAACTGCAGTTTAGGCCTCCTAAATCACGACCCCCACCAATTTTCACAGCGTATCAGAAAAGTTGAACTGAAGAAGTCACTGAGTGATGCTGCTGCTTCATTCTCAGCACTCACTTGATAGGTTTTCTGTCTTGTTACTGTGACCTTGAGTGCTGAAGACCATTCAGTGGTTTCCTGAGCACAAGGCATTGTGGGTAGGCATCAGCGATTGATTAAAACAAACCTGCATCTCTATTAAATTTGAGTGAAGCCATTGTGTTCTTTTCCTTCATCGTATGCGTTTGCAAAATATGGCAGTGAAAAGGTGAACCTTTCGAGTCAGTATATGGTAGGACTTTAACGAGCGAGGGTTCTATAGTTAAAAGTGCAATTTCAAGTTTTCATTTGTAAAAATATAATTGTCAAATGAGACTTTTATTTTTAAACATGATTTTAAGCATTTACCAAGAAAACATAAAACCAGTTTCATTATTTATTCTTTCTATTCATTTTGAATTTTATTTTTTATCTGCTCTTACCTACTCCTGAGCAAGCCACCAGATTTTCAAAATATACCAATTACCTACTTTATCAATAAGTTAGTCGGGACTTGTGCCCATGTAGTCAGTAAAAACACTAAAACCAGCTCAAAAAGCACATTTACAGTTTTAAGATATGAAAAATCTCATCTATGATCTTAAAAGCAAGTTTAACATGCATCAGTTTAGAGCAAAACACATTGTTTCTGTATAACAGCATAAATTTAAAAATAGTGTTTTCACACCATTATTAGTGTTTGTATCGAATGACCTGTGAGCTGGACACTTGTGGTCTTGTAGAAAAAAAAAACAGAGTAACCCCAAAACAATTAAACATGAACAAAATGTTTATTTTGAACAGACAGGACCAAAATGTAAAATACAACAGATCATTAGTATTTAAATAAAATTACCAAAGCTTAGACATTCAGAAGTGAGTTGGCAAATTGTTGAACCCAAACATAAAGAAACATGATCAGACTTAACTATTAGACTGTCTTTCAAATCCTCCCTTTGGTGTTATTTATTTTAGCTTGATGCAAAAAAAAAAAAAAAAAGTAAAACAATCCCTTTCAGTCAAGTAAAAAAAAAAAAACAAAGGAAATGGCTGTAATCAACATTGCTGCATGAATGCACGTTAATGTGTTTATACATTTGAACAAACATTGGTGTTACTTTCCCTTTTCAAACATCACATAAGCAGAACTTAACTTAAAAGTTTCACCCTTAAATAGAAATAACAAGAAGGCCTATTTGCTTTATTGAATTAAACCGCACTGATCATTTTTTGCCAATTGCAATTTAGATTTTCTGTATGAAATTCGATCCAACAGAAAAAAAAGGTGGTGTTTTGGCTCTAAAAGGGAAGCGCCGGCTGCAGCTCAGCCAGACGCCACGTGTTGGCTCGCTTCACAACGAGCTGAGCCACAGTTAGTGGAGTTTTTGCAACAGGTTACTGAACCGAAGCAGCTTGAACAAATATGTACCAGAATGACACACTAAATCAGTGTTTAAAAAAAACAACCCCTTTTGAAAATTAAATAGTTAAATAAAACAAGACATGCACATTAGAAAAGCGACGGATCAAATTCAAACCCACTTATTTGTAAATCCAGAAAGACGAGTTAATCCTGTCTGCGTCAAACGGCCGACGTTCAAGTTTCTTTATTGCAAATGGTACGGCCTGATCACAGAGAGCTGAACAAACGGGCCAAAATAAAAAAGGAATTAGCCATCATGTAGAAGTTCTTATGTAAAATTTAACAAGTTTTGTTGTTAAATTATGATTTAAGTTAAGAGCCATGAGATCAAAGAATGTTTATTTTCTTACAATCCATTTGGCATTGGACAACCACGCCAACAAGCTGTCAGAAATTTCCTTTTCTAACTTTGAGTGTCACACTTAAAACAAACTAAATTTATTAAAAAAATAATAATAATAAAAAGAGCTGGAGCTGCGGAGTGTTGCTGGTGTGAAAGAGGAAACAAACAAAAGGTGCACATTGATGGGTTCGGTTGCTGTGATTGTCTAAATTTAGAGATGACAGAGGTCATCTGGTGTTCAGATCGATTCTTCTCGGCCTCACAGAAACTGTTCTCGTTATGTTCTCGAGTCGACAGCACAGATCTGACGCACACCGTACCGATACAGTTCACAATCACGAGGAAACAACTCTTTACCACAGTCATGCTGTCAGGATTCAAAACTGAACGCATGCAAACTGCCTGCTCTATGTCAATAAAAGAACATGTTAGCAAAATCCTCACAAACTGAATGTATATACATACATTATTCATATATATTCTTAATAATAATGTCTGAATTTTCAACAGTTGTATATAAAATACATTAACACATTTAAGTCCAAGAGATTGCCTTTGGTCGAGAAAAATATCTTACTATTTACAGGCATTAAATGTTATTGTACAGGGATAAAACAAACAAACAAACAAACAAGATCATGTAACTGATCAAAATGAGGAAAGCTGATACTAAGTATCTAATCATTTCCATTCGGACAGTTCCAAATATTTAAAGTGCGTCTGCGTATTTTTTTTCCTCAGCATTAAATGTGAAAGAAACATCCGTCAATAAGGCAGAGTGGTATTTACAAACACACACACACACACACACACACACWCACACACATACACACACACCCATTTGTTCAGGACACCACACAATGTGAGGGGCACAGATAGAGGGTGATCTTCCAGAGGTGATGATTATTAATGAACTCTGGACAGGAGAGAAAAGACGTCGCAGGGGTTCATCACAGCTGTTAATATAAAACTGAGTGATTTCAAATAAAATAATAGCAGCCTGTTCACTCACCATCTAATGATGCATCTGTTACACAGTCAAAATATAAAAAAAAAGAAATCAACACATAGAAAAAGACTCAAAAGTGGGAGGAGAGGAGGCAAACAGCCAAAACAACGACAGACAGAGTGAATTCATAGTGGAGTAAATGTGTGGAGGTCACGGTGTTTATCATTCTGTGGGTCACACGGCGGCCCCGTCTTGCAGAGACACATTCAGGGGCTCTTTGAGGAACGCCGAGGCTCTCTGCAGTGCGCCGGCACCTGCTGGTCTGGCTGTTTCAGGCCACACCGGCCCACCCAGGTTAGGAGGTCTTTCCCACTATGGGGTTGTCACTGAAAAAGTGAGACGACGGCAAAAGTTAAATCACCCATCGAAACGTAACACAAACGAGGCTATCACAAACAATATGTTATTATAAAAATAATAAGACTCTAAACAATGAAGAGTCGAGCTGAGAACAGACACTAGAGGGAGATCAATGAACTGAGACAACTTTGGGGGGTTTTGCAAATAATTGGCAACATCTCAGCATGTTTCTTGTACAAACTGTGTCGTCAGCGACTCGTAAAACAGATTCAGGCTTTTTGATGTTCAGGCAGTTTATTCATTGTTCCAGCCATCAACCATCATTTATTAGAATTTAATCTTAGAACTGCATTTATAACAAATCTGTAAAATTGTGTACTGCAACATAAAATAATCCATCTTCAGGGATTTCTAAAGGTCAGAATCACTTTTTTAAAAACCCTCAATCACGACACCTATACTTAAATCASTAATGGACAAAAGTAAAACTCGAGCTCAAGTTAGTCGTCTTCATTGTGCCATGTTCAGTGCTTTTTTGTGTGGTTTTTTTTAATTGAGAACACATTTTGCACAGCTGTATAAAGTCATAAATATAAAAAAAGTAAATGACACATCCAGTCCACAGCACAAACCACAGATGAAATGTTTTTTTTTTTAACAAAGAAGAACTCGTTCAGAGGACATACTCAATATTTTTAGACCAGTGTTTGACACTTACAGGCTTCCGTACTGTGCTGTGATGTTGTTCCTGCTGTTGTGCTGCCTCTGCAGCTCCTCCATGACATTGCGGAGCTGTTTGAGTGTCTGAAATGTCTCTTTGGGTTCCTGAATGGTAAACTTGGAGTATTCCTCCTGCTCTCGCTGAGGGCCCTGGTACACCGCCATGCTGGCACATGCATCTGTGGAGAGAGGCTGCATGTTGGAGCGGACAGCTCACACTGAAGACCAAAACCCATCTGCAACATGCTACACAACACAATATACGAGTTTCTTCTGGAAGATATTCAGTCATGCCTTTAGTTGTGAAGCACATGGAAAGTGTTAAAGAGTTTTGGTGACTTTTTGCATTTAGTGAGGTCTTTACAGAAGAAGAGCTGCTCAACATCTGGGCTGAATTCAAGTTACATGACTTCACTTTGTTAGGAGTTGGAAAAAAANATCATGCCTTTCTATCTTTATGGGGACTTTGCATTGACTTCCATTTATTTTTCATTCTTTTCTATACCCTAACCCTAAACGTTCCCCCTTAGTTCACAGCTTAGTCTTTAATCTAACCCTTTCTTTGTATATAAGCATTAATTAATCCTTAAACCTCCTGCTTATTTCACATTTTTATGAGATACGATCAAAACCATCAATGGAAACTGAAACAACATTTTTATTTATTGCCTCCATCTGAAACCTTTAGTTTTTATCTGTGCAATAAACACATCTTTACCAGCAGAAGTGCTGCAAGTTTTATTAGATCTGTGAAGCTCTCTTTGAACGTTTTTACCTCGATCATATTCTTGATTTAAAACAGTTTAGTTCGTCTTTATATTTGGTTGCTGGCAAAACATTTTTTGTAAAGACATAAATTTTGTTGCATCTTTTTTTGCTTTTCTCGTCAGGGAGCATCAGTGTTGGACTCACAGAGCTCACCTTCCTCAGTGGCTCAGCTCGCAGAGTTTCCGTTCAACTCACCACTGTCTCACAAAGTCCAGGGTACCCCTGCATGAGCTCCACCAATCCACTAAAGCCTGCAGCTTTGAAGCCTGTTGGAGAACAGCTGGTCGCTCAAAATTGCGAGAAAATACGTTGACATTTAGCTGGAGTCCCACTAAATTCTARATGTTTGTAAAAAGYGAGTCATTGCAGCATTTTGAACTGTGAATCAATGTTTGTGACATTTTGGAGACTCCCCAGCTCCTCTCCAACAGTCCCAGCAGAGTGAGATGCTGCATAATGGATGTGTTTGTGTACATGGAGACGCTGCTTATGTTGCTCATCTTGTTTCATAGACGTTTGTGTTCCATATTAACACAGAAACACAGTCCTCATAAGGTTAAAACTTTATTGTTAGAACAAAGACTTGTTTTATGTTATAAGACTTAAACAACATTGTTGTCCTTTGCTTAAGGCTTGTGAAATTATTACATCTTTAGTTCATGTTTAGCACTCCATAGAAAGAAAGTTTCTATAGGCCCAACATTTCCCCAAATGTTTGGAAGAAAAACTGAGTTTTTCATTGTGTCCTAAAATTTGCGAGCAGAAAAATGCAAGGGTCAAAAAGCAACATGCTGATGAATATTGCGTTTTGTGGAATAAAGYTTTTATAACTCCCTCTGAGTGTCTGACTGCTCACAAGGAGCTTTGCCTTCTTGTAACGTGAGGAAACTTCAAGCTGCAGTGTACATTTGACCCGTCAAAAACAAACATTAGCTCTCTGAAACTGGATACCGTCGTTTTATGAAGAAGATCACATGAAGCCGAGACAAAAACACAATTTATTTTTTTACCCACAAAAAGAACCAGACTGAGATCTTAAGAAAGGACATCAGATTTAAATAAAACAAACAGCAGAAAAATGTTTAGYCTCCTCAAACAGACGTGGTTGATGGGATTCCTTTTTACATTAAATTAGACCTTCATTATTGTATCTAACAGTTAGAGGTCTAGTATTTCTTGAAGGCATGCATATCACTCGCCACTGACAGTTTTATACAAAAAAAGAATCGTATAAAACTGAGTTGGGGCCATATTTGTGTTTGATCAGCTGTGGTGGCCATCTTTGTAGTCCATCACTGTAGATGTGCATTCGTGATAGTTTTCTAGGAAAATCAGTCAAATCTTTCCTCTGGTTCATAGAATACTTTGCTAAAAGACAAAATGAACCTACACACGGGAAATTACATAACGGACCACCTCTACAATCTCTCTCCTTTGTCTAAGCAAATCTTCAAGTCTAAAATGTGCTGTAACATTTTCCATCCTACAAGTGTTGTAGAGTTTTACACGAATATTTTGTACCATATAAAATTAAGGTTTGATTTAATCCTCGGGTCTAAGGACAGAGTGGTGAGTTTCACCCATATGTTAGCTGGAGGCTGGGAACGTAATATGGGAAGAGAGGCTCGGTGTTAAAATACCACAGCTGACCCATCGCTGTCGGGGTGTTTTGCTTCTGGGTCGACATCATGAGGTCAGTGTTGAGACACACAGCTGGTTGAAACCCAGCTGACTTGATAGGAATTCATCCAGAGTCCGTGTCATGGAGAGAGCACTTCAGATGAAGCACTTCTTTATAAACAAAACAAGAAAAAGGAATGTGAAAAAACTGCAGTTTAGGCCTCCTAAATCACGACCCCCACCAATTTTCACAGCGTATCAGAAAAGTTGAACTGAAGAAGTCACTGAGTGATGCTGCTGCTTCATTCTCAGCACTCACTTGATAGGTTTTCTGTCTTGTTACTGTGACCTTGAGTGCTGAAGACCATTCAGTGGTTTCCTGAGCACAAGGCATTGTGGGTAGGCATCAGCGATTGATTAAAACAAACCTGCATCTCTATTAAATTTGAGTGAAGCCATTGTGTTCTTTTCCTTCATCGTATGCGTTTGCAAAATATGGCAGTGAAAAGGTGAACCTTTCGAGTCAGTATATGGTAGGACTTTAACGAGCGAGGGTTCTATAGTTAAAAGTGCAATTTCAAGTTTTCATTTGTAAAAATATAATTGTCAAATGAGACTTTTATTTTTAAACATGATTTTAAGCATTTACCAAGAAAACATAAAACCAGTTTCATTATTTATTCTTTCTATTCATTTTGAATTTTATTTTTTATCTGCTCTTACCTACTCCTGAGCAAGCCACCAGATTTTCAAAATATACCAATTACCTACTTTATCAATAAGTTAGTCGGGACTTGTGCCCATGTAGTCAGTAAAAACACTAAAACCAGCTCAAAAAGCACATTTACAGTTTTAAGATATGAAAAATCTCATCTATGATCTTAAAAGCAAGTTTAACATGCATCAGTTTAGAGCAAAACACATTGTTTCTGTATAACAGCATAAATTTAAAAATAGTGTTTTCACACCATTATTAGTGTTTGTATCGAATGACCTGTGAGCTGGACACTTGTGGTCTTGTAGAAAAAAAAAACAGAGTAACCCCAAAACAATTAAACATGAACAAAATGTTTATTTTGAACAGACAGGACCAAAATGTAAAATACAACAGATCATTAGTATTTAAATAAAATTACCAAAGCTTAGACATTCAGAAGTGAGTTGGCAAATTGTTGAACCCAAACATAAAGAAACATGATCAGACTTAACTATTAGACTGTCTTTCAAATCCTCCCTTTGGTGTTATTTATTTTAGCTTGATGCAAAAAAAAAAAAAAAAAGTAAAACAATCCCTTTCAGTCAAGTAAAAAAAAAAAAACAAAGGAAATGGCTGTAATCAACATTGCTGCATGAATGCACGTTAATGTGTTTATACATTTGAACAAACATTGGTGTTACTTTCCCTTTTCAAACATCACATAAGCAGAACTTAACTTAAAAGTTTCACCCTTAAATAGAAATAACAAGAAGGCCTATTTGCTTTATTGAATTAAACCGCACTGATCATTTTTTGCCAATTGCAATTTAGATTTTCTGTATGAAATTCGATCCAACAGAAAAAAAAGGTGGTGTTTTGGCTCTAAAAGGGAAGCGCCGGCTGCAGCTCAGCCAGACGCCACGTGTTGGCTCGCTTCACAACGAGCTGAGCCACAGTTAGTGGAGTTTTTGCAACAGGTTACTGAACCGAAGCAGCTTGAACAAATATGTACCAGAATGACACACTAAATCAGTGTTTAAAAAAAACAACCCCTTTTGAAAATTAAATAGTTAAATAAAACAAGACATGCACATTAGAAAAGCGACGGATCAAATTCAAACCCACTTATTTGTAAATCCAGAAAGACGAGTTAATCCTGTCTGCGTCAAACGGCCGACGTTCAAGTTTCTTTATTGCAAATGGTACGGCCTGATCACAGAGAGCTGAACAAACGGGCCAAAATAAAAAAGGAATTAGCCATCATGTAGAAGTTCTTATGTAAAATTTAACAAGTTTTGTTGTTAAATTATGATTTAAGTTAAGAGCCATGAGATCAAAGAATGTTTATTTTCTTACAATCCATTTGGCATTGGACAACCACGCCAACAAGCTGTCAGAAATTTCCTTTTCTAACTTTGAGTGTCACACTTAAAACAAACTAAATTTATTAAAAAAATAATAATAATAAAAAGAGCTGGAGCTGCGGAGTGTTGCTGGTGTGAAAGAGGAAACAAACAAAAGGTGCACATTGATGGGTTCGGTTGCTGTGATTGTCTAAATTTAGAGATGACAGAGGTCATCTGGTGTTCAGATCGATTCTTCTCGGCCTCACAGAAACTGTTCTCGTTATGTTCTCGAGTCGACAGCACAGATCTGACGCACACCGTACCGATACAGTTCACAATCACGAGGAAACAACTCTTTACCACAGTCATGCTGTCAGGATTCAAAACTGAACGCATGCAAACTGCCTGCTCTATGTCAATAAAAGAACATGTTAGCAAAATCCTCACAAACTGAATGTATATACATACATTATTCATATATATTCTTAATAATAATGTCTGAATTTTCAACAGTTGTATATAAAATACATTAACACATTTAAGTCCAAGAGATTGCCTTTGGTCGAGAAAAATATCTTACTATTTACAGGCATTAAATGTTATTGTACAGGGATAAAACAAACAAACAAACAAACAAGATCATGTAACTGATCAAAATGAGGAAAGCTGATACTAAGTATCTAATCATTTCCATTCGGACAGTTCCAAATATTTAAAGTGCGTCTGCGTATTTTTTTTCCTCAGCATTAAATGTGAAAGAAACATCCGTCAATAAGGCAGAGTGGTATTTACAAACACACACACACACACACACACACAC